TGGCGGGCGCCTGTAGTCCCAGCTACTTGGGAGGCTGAGGCAGGAGACTCGCTTGAGCCCAGGAGTTGGAGGTTAGGCATGATGCCATGGCACTCTACCCAGGGGGATAGCTTGAGGCTCTGTCTCAAAAAAAAAAAAAGAAAGTCACTATCCCAGTCAGGAAAGTGGAGCCCAGTCAGAGGGATCTGGGGTTCACATCTTAACCAGGCAACATCTGTCTCCTCCCCAGACAGCCAGGACTACTACTGCCCAACCAGATGAGTGCAGCCTACAAGGAAAGCTGATGCGGGAATTTGGCTGGGATGCAGCTTAGTTCAGAGGGTCATTTTCTAAATACAATGGAAACTGCCACTATGACTTCTGCCAAAAAGAGGGTCTGATGGAAAGTATTCCCAAACAAATGTCTAAGGGGTACTTTTTATAACTAAAGAGGTTGTTGTCTGTCTCATTGGTAATGAAAAAGTCTAAGAGTACATTATTACTCTTCTATTCATAAGCACCCCCCTTCCTGTTCATAAGTGTGAGTTGTTCCTAAGTCAGATGTTTGTTACTTGGGAACTTCTCTCACACTCAAACAGCTACAGATATGAAAATCTAGTGACTTGCAAGAACAATGGGAGAAATAAAAGAAAGAAAAAGTTTCACCGGGGTGGTCATTATATAGATGTATAACATTGGGCTCATTCACTGAAATTATAATCTAAGAACTTTGCTTACTGGGTTATGCTTCAACTAAAAAGTTTAAAGAATTACTGTTAGGAACCCCTGAATGTTATACACTTGGTAGCAGGCACTGAACTTCTAATTTAAAATTCTGAAAAGAAAAAAACACTCAATTCAAAAGCACAAAAATGCAGTAGTGATGAGGAACAGTTATAAAATTCCTCTAATTTCAACCATCAATATAAAATTTCTTATTATTGAAGAACTTAAAAATACTTAAAAGGTGCTGTAGATATTACATTTCTGGACTGAAATACACCTCTTGCTCACATTTTTTTCTTTATTGAATTGGTGCTTGTGCAAAAAAGCTGATTTATCACCGGCTTGGTGCTTTGCGGACTGTCACTGGACTATTTTCTAACGACGCCTGCTTCAACTTAAATGCCAGTCAGCAGCAGAATTCTAAAAGCAGTAATGTAACTCACCTCAAGTGAGCACTTGACAGAAATTCCCAATCTCATAATAACTAGCTAGCTTTTTGGTCTGCAAACAGCTGTTGTTCTGACGTGTATTCAACTTACTTCTTTGTCAAAGGTAATATAATAACCCAGCTCAAAAGAAAACGTGGCTGTACTTTTCAGATCATTTTCCCCATTCATAGCTATTAGGATTTAGCAACCTCACCATCCTTTGCAGTTATCAAAATTCCACTTCTCTAGTACTAAACAGAATGACACTGGTCAGCAGGTTTATAAACTAAACCTAATTTCGAGTTCTTAGATGTTGACAAATTGCTTTTGAGCAAATTTCCAGGCCTTGAATCCCTTCCTGTAAAATGAAGGAACGCCCAAGTTATCCCACACTCTAGGGAAAGTTTTCTCCTTTCTTTATTCCTGATATCCTGTTTAGGTAAAGGCTAGGGGCCAGACTAAATAGAAAAGGTTCTATTTTTTGCAGGATAGAATCTGGCTGTGGGATTAGAGAAGAAGCTATGGGAGAAAGGGGTGTGCTGGGAAGAGATTCGGAGAAATAAGGATAAAATCCCAGAATTAAGCGGGAGCGTGGTTCTGTGAGATTTCAAAGACCTAGGGAAAGAAACCCAGGACCGGGGAGGTAATGGTGAGAGGGAGGCATCTGAACAACCAAGGGCCAAGGATGGAACTCAGGGGAAAGACTCAATGGAAAAACTGGAAAGAATGCTGAAGGTAGAGGGTCATTAGGTAAGAAATCATGGAAGGGATACTCTGTGGGACAACAGGATCGGTAGGGGAGATTCCAAGGGCCGAGGAGGGGAACCTGGTGGAAAATCCCTCTGTGACTATTTGACCTGAGAAGACAATGAGGGCGAGATAGGAATTAAGAGAGGCAAGAGTGAGACTCTGGTGACAGGGGTCTGTGGAAAGACCCAGAGGAAGAAAGTATCGAGAGCGAGGGACTCCTAAAACCAACGACATAACTTACTTTCTCCGCTGGACTTGCACTGCTTTGAACACATCTTCCCGTTTCAGCACCACGAAGTCTCCATCACGGATGCGGTGGTCCCCCGGCTGCGGTGGCTGGGGGCCCGGCGGCTCCCGTGAGTCTTCCATGACGCTCAGCCAGTCCGGGCGCTCCGCGGCGTCCCCCCACCCGTTACGTCCTGCTCCTCCTCCTCCGCTGTCGCCGCAACCAGCTTCACTTCCCACAACCCCTGAGACCCGGAGCCCTCCGACCAGCACCGCCCCCACGTGCTGCGCGCCGCTTCCGCTTTCCGGCTCCGGGCCTGCGCGCCGCTTCCGGCGGCCCCCTGACTTCCGCCGGCCGAGCTCCTGGATTGGCTGCGCTCCGCCCCGCCCCTGCCGTGCCACGTACTCCTTGACGGAAGTTGCGTCGCAGACGCGCCAAAAAGGAATTCGGAGAATCTTGAACTTCAGCTTCAGGTAGGGTTTGGTTCTGTAGGTTTGTTCTTAGGTTGAATTTGTAAGTTGGCTTGTAAAAGCCCCAGTTCGTAAGTGCGAATTGTACCTACGTCAGGTGTTTGTTACTCGGGAGCTGCCCGTCTTGTTCTCCACTCTTACCGCTTAGACTTATGTTGGAATCGTTAACTCTTGTCACCCTATTATCTGGTTTGAGAGGAGCGCCTCAGCTTCGGAGCCTGAAGGAGTGTTGATCTCTGTACTGTCACCACTTTGATCTTGATCAGTTTGCTTTATTTCTCTGAACATCGGTTGTATAATGTGTAATGTCTGATTGATTTTCAAAGTCCTTTCGTGCCCTAAAATCGTGAGCTTTTTAGTTATCATTTATTAATTAAGTTCCTTTAATGAAGATGAAGGCTCTCTTGTAATGAATTGTGCTAGAGTATATGGATATATTCTTATTTACTCGTATCCGTAGGATGTGAATTATTTTAAAGTAGACTTTATTTTTTAGACCAGTCTTAGGTTTACAAAAATAGTTGCACAGAAAGTGGTGTGACAGTGCAGAACTGACTGTGTGTAATGAGCTATGATGATGTATTTCCCAGTGCCTGGCAGGTTAGGGTTATGTTCATCCTGTACTACCCTAAATAAAAGGTCTCAAGCTTATTATCTTAGAATAACAACTGCTAACAAGTTATCTTAGAATTAATTACCTATCTTATTTTCATTTCTATTGTGGGAAACTCCTTGAAAACAAGTAGAGTAATTACAAGTCTTTTCCTTACTTTTGGCTCATGAGCTTTAGATGTACTTAAATGAAACTATTAAACTGGCTAGGCGCCTGTGGCTCAAGCGGCTAAGGCGCCAGCCACATACACCTAAGGTGGCGGGTTCGAATCCCCAGCCTGGGCCTGCCAAACAACAATGATGGCTGCAACCAAAAAATGGCCAGGCGTTGTGGCGGGCGCCTGTAGTCCCAGCTACTTGGGAGGCTGAGGCAGGAGACTCGCTTGAGCCCAGGAGTTGGAGGTTGCTGTGAGCGTGATGCCATGACACTCTACCCAGGGGGATGGCTTGAGGCTCCGTCTCAAAAAAAAAAAAAAAAAAAAGAAAGAATAGAAACTATTAAACTAACAGTTATTAAACTATAAAATTATTCTGTGCTATGATATACTTTAAAAATTTATATGGATTAAAAGAGTAACTGCCGAATGCTTGGGTCTTGTACCATAGTATACAACTTTGCATACTATAGTGTACAATCTTGCAAGCCTGTTCACTAGTCTCCAAGAATATATTAGAAGCACTATTATATTTTCCAAGTAGTTTTGGTGAAGACTTTTTGAATTTCTGTCTTTTAGACATGAATGGAGAGCATAGAGGCAGAGGTTTTGGACGAGGACGATTTCAAAGCTGGAAAAGAGGAAGTGGTAGGAACTTTTCAGGAAAATGGAGAGAAAGAGAACATAGACCTAACTTGAGTAAAACTGCAGGAAAACATAATTCTGGTAGGTGAGGTCAATAATTGTTCAATTTTTTTCTCTTCATGAAGGAAGCAACTCATGTCTATCATAGGAAACAGTTTATCTCAAACTTTGGTCTATCTTTTATTAAATGCTACTCCTTAAGCAAGTATTTGAATACAGTATAAAAATTCCAATTTTTTACCAAAACCTCTACTTCATTAATATCATATCAAGTTCTCATTGTTGAAAGAAGCAAATCAGGGAGGAAAGTTTACTGTTTCTACTAATCTGGTATTCTATTTCTTTTTCAGGACAAACCCCACAGTCTTTGCTACTTCAGTCAACATTGGATAAGTTCATACCATATAAAGGCTGGAAGCTTTATTTCTCTGAAGGTAGAGTTAAAAGTGTAAAATGTACCATAAATTATGTTTTCTTATTTTGTGTTTGGATGCTACATCTCATTATTAATTCATTTGGCTTATTGACATATACCCTGTTAATCTTAGTTTACCGAAACAATTGAGTCATATTCGTATTTCAGAGCATTGTTTTTAGGTTTTTTATTAGGAAAATAGAAACCATAGTAGGTATTTCAAAAAGGGGACTTAATACAGGGAATTTGATACACAGGGAAAGACTAAAGGCGCAAATTGCAGTAACTCCCCAGAAAGTGGTAACTTTAGGAAACCATCCCTGTGACTGAAGGAACAAAAGAAGTTCTGAGGTTACCAAAGCCTAAGAATTTGGGGGGGGGGAAGTGGAGGGGGCACAACATATCTATTGTTTTGACCTCTGTAGGGCACTCTACAAAGCTGTGCTTGGACTTCTGTCGTGCTCAGATTACTGAGGTAAATGAAGCTGGTTGCTGCTGGTAACTTGAGAGGGCAATACTTGGTGCTTAGAGCTGGGGACTAGAATTGTAGCAATCTAGCTATCTTATGTAGCTGCAGAGATGCTGGAGTGAATTGGAAACAAGAATAAATTCTTGGTGGTGCCTGTAGCTCAGTGGATAGGGCAGCAGCCACATACACCCAGGCTGGCGGGTTCAAACCTGCTCGGCCCAACTAAAAACAACAATGACAACTACAACAAAAAAAATAGCCGAGTGTTGTGGCGGGCACTTGTAGTCCCAGCTACTTGGGAGGCTGAGGCAAGAGAATGGCTTAAGCCCAAGTGTTTGAGGTTGCTGTGAGCTATAATGCCATGTCACTCTACCCAGGGCTATAGCTTGAGACTCTGTCTCAAATAAAATAAAATAAAGAATAAATTCTTTTCTTACTTTCCACTGCCTTCCAGTCTCTAACGTGCCTCCAATTGGCAGAAGTTGAAGGGAGTCTGGGAAATGGAGAGCGTAGATCTTGAGCATAGCTTCACAGAACAGAAAATAGAGTGGTTAGCTTGGAACCGGAAGGCAATAACCTATGCAGCTTTGGGTAGAAACATGGTTAAGAAATCTCTGATAATCAAGAAAAGCAGCTAACATTGCATATGTGTTTGTATAGGTGTGTGGAACTATCTCTTTTGTGCTCTTTTTATAAAATATATCTGTTTGTTAGGTATGGGTCATGTATATGTATATATATGCATGTGTCTGTATTTGGCCCAGTAGACCACACTGTTTGAGGTCAAGGACCCACCCTATATATGAGCCACTCACTATTCAATTTGTGAATGAGTAGTGTACTTTACAAATATTTTCTCTTTTGGAAGTATGGGGTTTTTTCTATTTATAGATCACTTTCATAAGTGATTCCTGGTTGCTTTAGCATGCATTAGCCACCCCCAAACTCATGTTATTCTCCTAGCAGTACGCTACACTATAAGAGATCTTTGGATTAGTCCTAAAGATGGAGTTCAAGCGGTTTCACCAGCTTAGGTTTGACTGGTTTCCAAACTACTTCATTATACATTTTCTGTAGGAGAACAGTTTGAAAGTATTGCAGAACTTTAGGGTATAAAAATAATAGCTTTACCATTTTGGGAACAGAATTTTGTATTGATCTGTCAAGAGATCAAATCTCTCCTGATCTCAGGAAAGAGTTTGATTGTCTTCAGCTCTGTTTCAGAATAAAAGTTTGTGTCTGGCTTTGGCTGTAGTTTTGGTTTAAGATTTTTGTGCAAGCTATTTGAACTCATATGTTCTATAATCTTTCGATATGAAAGATTGAAAAACTTGAAAACGAAGTTTCCCAGATACGGGGGGCTTTTAGAGAGAGGCCCTTCCTGTCTGTATTTCAGGAAATACAGACCTAAACTTGTTTTAGAAATGAGTATTTATTCTATAACAGTTCTTATTTAAGTGTAATCAAAATACAAAACAATTAGAAAATAATCCCCTGCCACATATATAGTGTTTCTTTCATCTAATGAAAAATATGCTTGTACATGTGTAATTGTGCTAATGCCATATTTATTGCATTAGTTTACAGTGATAGTTCTCCTTTCATTGAGAAGATTCAAGCATTTGAAAAATTTTTCACAAGGCATATTGATTTATATGACAAGGTAAGATTCTTAACAACAAAACTGCCAGTCAACTTTATGTGTGTTTAAAGTGCTATGATTGTGATCATAGGAGTCATCCCTGCCACTTATCTCCAATGTGGACTTTGGTGAATTACATAACTTCTCTTTGCTTCAATTTTCTCTTTAATTTGATCAACCTCAAAGGATTGTTAAAAAGCATAAATAAGTTACTATATTTAAAGTATTAGAGAACCATACTTCACACAAAGCTTATATTTATATAGTACTTACCATTATCACTGTATAAATATTATATGCTCTCTCAAGAAGTGTGTAATTAAATACTAAGTTATGCTAATTGACTACAGAAACAATTACTGTTTTTTTTTTTTTGTAGTTGTTTATTTATTTATTTATTTATTTATTTTTGAGACAGAGTCTCACCATATTGCCTTGGGTAGGGTGCTATAACATCATTGTAGCTCACAGCAACATTAAACTACTGAGCTCAAGCAATCCTTTTGCCTCAACTTCCTGAGTAGCTGGGTGTATAGGTGCCTGCCACACTCCCCACATACCTGGCTAGTTTTTCTGTGTTTAGTAGATATGGGGTCTCGCTCTTGCTTAGGCTGGTCTCAAACTCCTGAGCTCAAGCAGTCCACCCACCTCAGCCTCCCAGATAGGATTGTAGATGTGAGCCAACATACCCAGCCGAATTATGATTTTAATACTTTTATATTTTATAGGATGAAATAGAAAGAAAGGGAAGTATTTTGGTGGATTTTAAAGAACTGACAAAAGACAATGAAATAACTAACTTGATCCCAAGTATAGCAAGTGAACTAAGAGATGCTCCTGAGGAAACGTTGTCATGCATGGGTTTGGCAATACATCAGGTAAATATCTATTTTGTGCAGACTTTTGTCAGAATTTTAAAGGAATATTTCACAGTGATAGCACCTTCTCTAAAAAATATGTATGTAGCTTTTACCAAAAGATTTTGGCTAGAACTAAAAGATTGTAATCCTGCCCTAAAAGATACCATTTATTCTATATTCAGCAGCTTACCTAAATAAAACATATTTTTATCTTATTTGAATTATATTAATCTCATTAAAGATTGTCCAGAAATTAAACCTTGTTTTCAAGGAGCTATACAGTCTCAAAGGGAATGTGACAAGGCATCACAGAGCAAAAAGATCAACCTCAAATCTGGGTTCTGTGGCATGAGCAAATCATTTAATCTTGCTGAATGCCCTCATCTGTCAAATAAAAATAATTTGTGCTGTGCCTGACTATTTTCCAGGATCAGTGACATAGCATATATTAAAGCTTTTTTTAGGCTTTCACACAGATAAATGCTTTAGGATAAAGAATAGCAAATCTCAGGACAGGCGCAAGATTCAGTGGCAAATATGTATAAGACCCTGACAGATTTGGGCAGAAGGGAGAAAGTTCAGAGGAAGACTTTATAAATAATGGTGGAATTTGACAGGTCTTAAAAGTGGAGCCAGAATTTGGATATAGAGCAGGGAAAGTAAAGATAATCCAGGTATAAAGAACAGTTCATCATAAAGATGTGTACACTTTTAGTAACTCTAAATTGGGAGCCTTGACTGTTGTCTTCAGACTCAACTGGTCATTATTTCCCCATATGCATGTCACTACATCTTTTCATTTTTCTTTCTAACATGTCTTTTAAACCCACCTTTTTTTCTATCTTCACTGCTTCTGTTTTAGGCTAAGCTGCTGCTACTGCTTTTTTTGAAAAGAAGAGTCTCACTGTATCGTCCTGGGTAGAATGCCATGGCAAGATCATAGCTCATAGCAACCTCAAACTCCTGGGCTCAAGGGTTCCTCTTGCCTTGGCTTCCCAAGTAGCTGGGACTATAGGTGCCTGCCTCAATTCCTAGCCAGTTTTTCTATTTTTAGTAGAGATGGGTCTCACTCTTACTCAGGCTGGTCTTGAACTCCTAAGCCCAGGCGGTCCACCCACTTTGGCCTCCCAGAATGGTAGAATTATAGGCGTTGAGTCACTGCGCTTGGCCTTATGCTCAGCTTTTATTGTCATTCTTAAACTATTGCCATACTTTGTAAAACCTGATGTTACTTGGGAAATTGTGATGACTCTTTTCCACTAAATGAAGTCACAGTCCTTATGTGGCAGCGAAGGCCTTCTGCGATTTGACTCGACTTTGTCCTTCATTCACTATATGCTTCCACTAGCTCAGTTTTGTCTCTCTGGAAATCTTCCTCATGGCACCTTTTCAAAATTCTCATGGTATTTTTGTCTTTAAGTCTTTATGGTCCTGGCTCGGCACCTGTGGCTCAAGTGGCTAAAGCGCCAGCCACATACACCTAAGGTGGCGGGTTTGAATCCAGCCCGGGCCCGCCAAACAGCAATGACGGCTGCAACCAAAAAATAGCTGGGCCTTGTGGTGGACGCCTGTGGTCCCAGTTACTTGGGAGGCTGAGGCAGGAGACTTGCTTAAGCCCAGGAGTTAGAGGTTGCTGTGAGCTGTGATGCCACAGCACTCTACCCAAGGGGACAGCTTGAGGCTCTGTCTCAAAAAAAAAGTCTTTATGGTCTTTATAACAATTATAGTTGTATATATGTATCTTATTTTGTCTCTTAGATTGTCAGCAGACTGCTTTGTACACAGGTATTAAATATTTATTTTATTTAATGCTCAGTGCCAAGGGAAAGGGTATTAGGTATTTTAGAAGTCATCTTTATTTTCTCTGTTTTGATTAATCAGTGAACATGAAGAAGTAAAATAATTTATTAGAACCAAGAAGTAATGGTTTTAGAGGCTACTAATAAGGACTTTGGATATCAAGTTTAGTTGGGGCAGAAAATGCAGACCCAAGTGCTAGAGTTTTCCAGTCCACGGACAACGAAATCCCAGGCGAAACCTAATCTACTGTAAGATAAGTCGTCATAATTAAATACCAGATTTGTTAATGGCTATTAGAGTTTTATTGTGCCTTTATTTTGTTCTTTAGAGTTCTCCTTAAAGAGAATGTTTTGTTTTCCAACTTTAGAGTAAATGTCTGTCCTGTGTAGGTATTAACTAAGGATCTTGAAAGGCATGCAGCTGAATTACAAGCCCAAGAAGGATTATCTAGTGATGGAGAAACAATGGTAAATGTGCCACACATTCATGCAAGGTGAGGAATTGGCTTGGGATTAAAGTATTACTTAGAATAGGGCATTGAAGAGTATATAAGAATGAGAACCTCATTTTATTTTATTTTAATTTTTTGAGACAGTCTCTCATTATGTCGCCCTCGGTAGAGTGCCGTAGCATCACAGCTCACAGCAACCTCAAACTCTTGGGCTTAAGCAATTTTCTTGCCTCCGCCTCCCAAGTAACTGGGACTACAGGCGCCCGCTACAATGCCCAGCTATTTGTTGTTGTTGATGTAATTGTCATTGTGTTGTTTACCAGGCCCAGGCCAGGTTCAAACTGGGCAACTCCAGTGTATGTGGCTGGCGCCCTAACCACTTAGCAACAGGCACTGAGCCGAGAATCTCATTTCATAAAAACAAAGAAATCAATAAAAATGTATGAGTTGATCATAGTTGATCATATCAAAGTAAACCTACTGAAGATTATTCAAAGAGATCACAATAGAACTCAACATTTCTTCTTTTTCCCAGATTGTAGATTTTTGTGGACATTGGTTTTAGATGTGAATTTATCAAGACCCAGCTGTGTAAATTTAATAATCTCTGAACGTCCCTAATCTGAAAATCCAAAATCTGAAATGCTCCATAATGAAAACCTTCTTGAGCACCAATGTGGCACTCAAAGGAAATATTTATTGGAACATTTCAGATTTTGAATGTTCAGGTTAGGGATACCCAACTGGTAACAATGCAAAAGCTTAAAAATCTGAAAAAACTCATAATACTTCTGGTCCCAAGCATTTTAAATAGGGATATACTCAACTTGTAATACACAAAGCAGTATATATTATT